TTTATCTTTTGAAACTTGAGTTTCCTCACCTTTAGGGCAGAGATAATTTTATCTCATAGTGGCACGGCACATGATTTAAATAGATAATGTACATGGTTTTATAAAATGCTTGGGGCATGGCACTTAAAGAATGATGTATTTCAAAAAAAAGTTATGTATTTCTTTATGTATCTCCACATTCCTATTTTTTTCAAAAACTCAGCCTAAGAATTATTTTATATTATGAAGCTCATAAAATGTGTATATAATAAATTTGACTTTTGAACATTCACATTTACTATTGTTTTCATTCTGATTTTTTTTTTTTATCATATAGCATATGATCAGTAGACAAGATGTGAAGAAAGTACAAAACTGCCTGCAAGTTTTGTTTTGGAGTATTTCTCATAATCTCTCTGAAAAGACAGGGATATATGGAGAAGTAAGGGTAGTGAAGAGGAAGCAACATTTTTGATCTCTCTTCCATGAGATGTAGAAAATGAAATTAGTAACATCACTGCTAAAAATGTAGGTTTTATTTTATTCAGCTAATAGTAGGCAAATGTTAAAAATGTGTGCTTTAAAATGTGATGATAATAAGTTTTAAAAAGACAAGGGAAAATTTAATTGAGAAGAAGGCATTTATCTATGTCAGAAACAGGAGACTGTAAATGATAGACTTTTTAAGGCAGCCTGTAGTGAGTCCTTGTTCCACGGGCATGCTGCTAATATACCTGACATTTACACGGGTCAGTGGGAGGCATACATTTTTCACTGGCTTTGGTAAAACTGTTTTCACTTCACTTTTTTGAATTGGGGTGAAGATGGCAAATCTTAATTGAATTGAGGGGAAAGTTGAAACAGTAAGAGACTGTCACTTCTATCAATGAGCAAGTCACAGGAGCAGCTGACAGATAATTTGAAACAATGCTCGTCAATAATGCTCAGGCTGCCCTTCAAAGTGAGGTTGTTAAGAATCAGCATTTCAGAGGACAGTGCTGTTTTGTGCAGAAAGATCATTCACTCCACTGAAGTCACACTCAAAAATGGCCCACAGCACAGAGGACACCGTTACTGGGGTCCCTCTCGTGTTGGCTTTAAGAAAACGTGTCTCAGAGACTCATCCCATATACCTTTCTGACACTATGAATTACTACCCAGAGATTTCTCAATCAGCTCTTGAGATCTTGTGGGCAGGTTCCACCCAGCTGGTGATGACACAGAGAAGGTGGTCACTAAATTTGTGTGACCTCTCTCTTGGACACAATTGCATATCCTTGCTGGGAACAATAGGTAACCGACCCACCTGGTCTGTTTATGGAGCTAATTTATGCTGATCCCCATAAATCCTCCGCTGAGATGCCCTTAACTCACTGCATGCGGTCCCCCTGTTCTGGGACTATCAGGTTTTAACTTTTCTCACCCATTTCCGTTAGAGTTGTTAGTGTAACACTTTCATCTTCAAGCCGCTAAGAAGTATTCTGTGGTATTAAAAGAAGCTAGGTTATGTGTACTCCACCTCTATTTAGAAATTGCATCGAAATAGTCTTGATAAATAAGAGTCATCTTATGTATCTTAAGATGCATCTTAATAGTCTTTAAAGTAATTCTGGATTTTTGAAAACCCTCTTTAGTTTAAAGGTTTTAATTTCTGGTCTTTGCACAAGAATTCCTGATCTTAAATTTCTTCCTTGATTGACTCTTTTGGAAGAGTTTCAGTTTTTATTTTAATGTTTGTATTTTCTTTTATTCTTAATATTGGTGGTAGAAAGAATAGAAGAACAGGAACCAAAAGTGTATTAATAGTTTTTTCAAGGAAAAAGCACAGTCACACTGCTTTTCTGTGCCTGTTGCAACATTGCTTATCTGTTCTCTCTTGCTTGATACTTCCTTGCCTTGTACGCATATTGAGATCATCTGTAATAATGTTCATGAAATAATGATAAATGACCTGAATTCAGAGAAGGTGTATGTATTTTCATTTAGTCTCAACTGTAGGTATTTTTACATCTTTACTACATCTTTAAGACAGTGAGCTGAACATAGAGCCAGTTCTTGTAAAAACAATAAAACTTGGTGTTCATTCATTGATATTAAGAAATGGGCTGTGTAAAGCTATGGTTTTCCTAAGGAAAGATTGGTGAAAAGGGAAATTTCAGCCTTATATTATTTTGAATTATTGTTTAGGAATGTTTAGACTGTCTCCGTGAGGGGAGTGCTTCCGAGTGTGTGTTCTGGACCTCCCTCCCCTGAATTCCGGCTCTAGCTCTGCTTTCCACGAAAACAGCAGTAACAATAGTACCTACTCATGGGGTTCTCCTGAAGCATGAACAAGATAACTCACGTAAACCTCTCAGAACCGTGACCACCATCACGTAGGAAGCTCCCATGACATGTTAGCTATTACTTTTGGACTAAAGTAAACACCACTGAGGATGTGAAAATAGTCATTAAGAAGAAGGCACTGCTTGTACCCAACCTGAAACGTCCACTTTCTGACAATACCCGAAATTGTACTGCTGTACACCCATTAACAAAAAATGTGCGGCCCCGGTCAATCCTTTACATACCTGAATTTTTGAAAACGTGAATTAAACTCCTTCCAACTTCTAGATGGTACTAAGCACGGCAGAGGGAGGGAGGTCGATGGAAGGGAAAGGAGGTAATGGCCGTGTGGGGTCTGTGAAATCAGGTGTGGTGCTGGGACTAGGGCTCCCTGGGGACTGACATAAATCCCAAGTCAGGAGCCTTGGAGCGTGCGTGCCAGAGGAAACTTGGCTGAATCTAAAATACCTCTTGGGCTTTGCTGAACTCTGTCACAATGCAGAAAGAGCCGTTTGTCCTCATTCCTTAGAACCTACTGAGTGTCAGGGGGGAAGGGAGAGAAGCAAAGGTGCGATCTTTATACATGCGGAGCTAAGCCTAGTGGGAAATGGACCAGTATGTGAGTAACTGTAATACAGCCTGGCCGACTCTTATTTATCATCTGCCATGGGGATGTGGGGTTGCAGCAAAGGAAGGGACTAACTGTAGAGTAGAAGCAGGGGGGTTACACGCAGGATGGAAGAAAGTACCATTTAGAGAACAGGGAGAGCAGTCAGGACAGGGAGCTGCCTCCGCAGCGCCGGGGCTGGACAGAGCACGCTTATTGTGGCTGGGGAATGGTGGACGATGTTTGTTAGTTGGGTGGTTTGGGTTCGATTAGGGAAGCCCACCTCTGCCCTTTAGAAATCAGGATTGGCTCTTGAACAATGAGAGTCTTCCCTAGACTGGTTGCTTCCCTAGAAAAATCCTCATTACCACTCTTGTGAATATTTGTAATCTAATTTTGTTCAGAAAAAAAAATAAAACAAAGTCCTAAATAAATAATATTTTATCACAGTTGGATAGTAATAGACTCTGGAAGCTTTCCTTCCACAGAATCATGCCCGGCAGAGAAAAATAAATAAAAGCCTTTGTTCTGCTTTAACATTAACCTTATTAAGTGCTTTATTCATAACAATTAGTGCAAATGGGAAATAAGTGTATTCTTTTACCACTAATTTTACTATTCCCCCCTATTTATCTTGGCATGCTTTTTTATGAGAATTCGTTTCATCAGGTGCTGAGTGTGTTTCTGTAGATGACCAACCTTTTTACAGTATGAATTACTAACAGAAGTTATGGTTGCCATCATAGGCTCATGGCATTTTAGAATTGGACAAGTTCTGAAGTTCGCCTGGCCCAAGTTTTCACCTAATGCAGGACTGCTTTATACTACATCCTGTGCAGGGAGCGGGGGCAGGGGAGGGAACAAGGAATGCCCCTGCTTGCAGATGTGTGGGACAAGGAGTTGAGAGTTTCTCAACACAGATCATTCCACTTTTTATTATCTGCGATTCCTAGGAAGGTTTTTCTGCTGACCTGCTTTCTTAAGAGTTATAATCCCTTGGCCGTGTCTGCCCTCTGGAGACCAAATGTGTAATTCTGCTTACACCTGGTGACTGTTTAAATATGTCAAGATTGATTGATATCCCCTGTTTTACTCTCCCCTTTATCTTTAAGACTTAAGAAATACCTGTAGTTTCTTCAGTGCGGCATTAGTGTTTGGACCTTCTTACTCTTTTCAAGAGCTATGTAGCAGCTTGTAAATCATTTAACTGTGAACTTTGCATCAGCTTGTCATCATTTTATTTAAATTTGGGGAAACCAGAGCAATAGACATTTATTTTTACTGAAATGTTAAATTGTACACCTAAAATGAATGGGGTTGGGATATTCATCCTCCTAGGCCAGAATTGACTCACCTTTAGCAAGTGTGTCTAGTTTAAAAGAACTTAGTCACAGTAGCATGGCAACTTTGAGTTAGAGTTGCAATCCCATTTTTTTCCCTAAAACATTTAAATCATTCCAATATTAGTTAAATATTTTACAAACATAATTTAAGCATTTTGGACATGACTTAGTAATAACTCAGTCTCAAGTTCAGTTCAGGGTCAAGAACTGTGGGTTAAGGTTTGAACTCCGGTTTTCTTCTAATTTTGCCCATCACGCTGACACTTCTGCACATGTTTTTTCTGCCATGAAATGGAAAGCTAACAAAATGGAAATATTCATCTCCCCACAGTGCCTTGGCTGAAAATTTAGGTTATTTGGGATAATGTATGAAGAATTTTAGGGTGCCACTTGCTGTGATATTTCTGCTGTGTGTTAAGCTCTCTCCTTAACTACACGCCGGAATCTGAGTCAAGAAATCCTTTTACATCGTGTATGTTCCGGTTGACTGAGGTAGCACGGGATGTGAGTGGAGAGTTTAGGCCCCGTAATCATCATCTGAGTGAACATAATGGAAAATTGCCGTAAAGAGTCATGTAACAAAAGGTGTAACCAACTTTTGATTTGCAATGCTTGAATTCTCTTGAATGTCATTTCTTTCTTTCCTGAAATACAGGATGAGGCATGACACTACAGACTCATTGTTGGGTATTTTCTCTGTAACATACGCTTTGTTTTTTCTTTCTTTTTTTTTTTTTCCTCAAAAGGCGTTTAAACAGAAATCACCTTCAGCTGTTTCCAGAGTTGCTGTTTCTTGGGACTTCGAAGCTATACAGGCTGTAAGTAGACTGAAATAGTTATTGTTGCTTTGGGTAGGACCTTGTGTTGTATTAAACATATTTTGGATTTGTTTCAGTGTGCTGTCTTGGAATTTATTCATCACTAGATTAATGGATTAAGAGTTTGCCTTTATTTTTAATGGAAATTTATGATTGGTTTTCCCGTAATTCCAGTTGGTTTTTTTTTTTTTTTTTTTTTGTTAGCATTTACTGGTTTATGTATGTGTTATTGTGATTGCATTATTCTGTTTTGGCCGTGTGATGCCGGGAAGGTTTACCTCACTTCTTTGTGGACATTTGTGATTAAGGTCTGAAGAGGAAAAAGGCCCCGGCACTTCCTCTTTAGAGGAAGTTTGGCCACATTTCCTTGTAAAGTCGGGGGTTCTTAATGTCAGCTTTTTAAATATTGTTTTTGTACTCAAGTATATTTATTAGTCTGGAAATGTTATTAAAAGGTATTTAAAAAGGGCTATAAATTTCTTCTTATATGTTCCTTTTTAAGGCCAGAATTCCAAACTTTGCAATATGAATGACTGTAAGGGTTTCATATCAAGTACGTCATCGGCTGTTAACGGAAGTTCTGGGGAAGGAGCGTAATGTGAGTTGTAGGCAGGATCAGCTTTTCTTCCCTAAAATGCTTGTTCGCTGACCTAATGTGTAATAGTGAAAACACATTTTTGAAAGCTTTTAAAATTAGATTTTCAGCCATGTGAATGATTTTGTGCAGATGGGCGATAAGCTACAAAGTGTTGGGAAAATAAATAGCAATGATTATTGATGTTCATGGATCTTGTGGAAAAGCTGCAGGGCTGTATAGAGGAAACTGCTTTGCACGGCCCCCACCTGCACAGTGGAAAGTCCCGTAGGTTCGCGTTTGTAGGGAAAGTGAGCAGACCGCTCTCCTCTGAGCTTGACTCTTTGTAGCCAAGGCTCCTCAGCCTACTAGCTCAGTATTGTTATTGATTCTGGAAGTAGGGAGACTGTCCTTCCACGGCCCTGTCCTCATTGTAACCAGGCTCCCTGTGAGGTCCTTCTGATACCTTAGCTCACTAGAGAGAACCTCCCCAGCAGGTCAAGGGGTAGCCACCTAACACATCTGACCTTCCTCGAGAGCCTGACTTTCCTGTACCTCTAAGGAAAGCCCAGGTCATCTAGCGCTATTTCTCTGCTTTGTGTTCCCTGCTGGGTAATTGGCTCAACCTAAGTAAATGTGGAAAAAAAAATCAAATAAAGCAACCCAGAGACTGCCTTCTTAATAATAATTCTCTTGGGACTAGCTTTACCAAAGAAACAGGATATAAGCTATTATAAAGATTATAGTATGTATATAAATTGATACTTTTATTTAAATGATTGTGCTTAGTTTATAAGAAGGGCCATAGAAATGGGTTTACTAGCATCCTCCTTTCTGCTTTAATTTCTGGTGAATGAGGGGACTGGGAAGAACTGACTTCAGGGCCGGCATACAATGAGTACTGTTGAGCTACTGCTCTGCTAGTAGCACACGTATAGAAACAGTACATTGCCTAGGAAAGTGTCCATTTTCTACGAAGCTGTGAAAATATAATTTAAACAGAATGACTGCCATCTAGCATTAAAATTAGCCAGCTGAAGAGGTGAAGAAACTTCAGCACTAACTCTGAGAAATAAGAATATTTGATTTTTAGAAGTACTTGGATTAATTTTCTTGAGACTCTTCATTTCAGGTGGTATAATCCAGTTCAGAGTCCTTTACCAGCTAACTATATTCTGTTACCATCTTTTCTGACAATATCACATAGTGGATCAAGGGATTTTCTTTTATGATGTTTTCTAATTTCATAATTTAAGGTGCTCTATATATGAAGGACACTACAAATCTTAAAGAAGTGAATTAATGAAACAGAACTCATACAACTAGCAGGGGTGTCTAACTTTTTGGTGTCTCTGGGCCACACTGGAAGAAGAAGAGCTGTCTTGGGCTTCACTGTAAATACACAAACACTAACAAAAACCAATGAGCAAAAAGCAGTTTTAAGTAAATTTACGATTTTGTGTTGGGTTGCATTCCTAACCATCCTGGGCCAAATGCGGCCCGCGGGCTGTGGGTTGGACACCCCTGCTTAAGGCCACCTTTTCTAGATATTTAAAAGCATTTTAAAGAACAGAAGCATGGTTAGCTAGGAAATGTGTTCAGAGTTATGATGTTCCTGTTTAGCAAGAAGGTTTCCTCTGGGGAGTATGGACGATGAAGTTTCGTTTGTTAGATGGGACTGGTTGGAAGTGGGACTTGGATACACCTTGGTAATCCTGAAGTTAGAGCTTGATGGTTCAATGTTTACTATCGATTGGGATTTGACACCTGATGTAGACACTCCACGCACTTAGAAAGATGGAGATGTCTTTTTTTTCGCCATCCTCACATCAGGAACTTCCTTTTGAATTGAGGCTCCATTGTCTCATCTGAATTAGATGTAGTGGATCGTTAGCAGTGATCTTTCTACTGAGAGGATAACCAATAAGCTACATGTGTCTACTTTTTTTTATGATGGTGACCGCTAGTTAAATTAAACAGCGGCCATTAAGAATCTTTAATAAATAAAGAAACAAAGACTTGTGAAGTTGACTGCCTGGTTAGTGTAATTTCCAAGAGGAAGGATGCAAGTTCATGTTTTCTTTAGATGACACAGGTGCCTAGTAGCTCACCCGAAACAAATGTTCTAACAGATGGAAAAAATGTGCACAAATCTGCATCCAAACATGTTCTTTAAAATGCTAATTTAAAAATGGATCTTTCTTTCACAGTGACAGAACAAAGGATATGGGATTTTTGACAAGTAACTGGGAAATTTCTTGGGAATAGGGGAAGTTTATTGCATGTATGTATGAATTGATCAATAGTTGCCCTATTCTATAATGTGATAAAGGCATACACATCTAGAACTCATAACAAAAAGTTTAAAATTTATTTTCTCTATAAATTGTATAATGCTAATTAATATCTATATTCCTTTTTCTAACTTACTGTATCTTTAGCCATTGTTTAGTACTATTTTACCTGATACATGACTAATGAAGAAATTTACTAGTTTAAAATATAGTGTATACAATGACTTTTAATTATTATTGTTTGCTTAGATTAAAGCTGGTCTCGTCTACTGGACATTACAGGCCTGGGCGAAAGTAGGTTAATAGTAATAAATACAACAATTGATAAATAATAATACTTTATTTTAAGAATAAATGTTCGTGGACTCACAACTGTAAACCTACTTTTGCCTACCTCTGACTGTAGACACTTTCTGAGCTTTTGTCATGAATAATCACCATTTGACTCTTGGCTGAACATGAGATGCCAGGTGAAGAAGCACACACTCTACTCCGGACTCCCAGTGCAATATAAAAGAAAAAGAGGGCATACTGTATATGAACTATGATTTGACACGGTTGGTTGCTGTGAGCGGCCAAATATGCTTTTCCTTTGCTGTCTGCTCCAATTTCTCTTTGGACGGGTTGAGAGAGCACTACATGTTCAGGTCAAGATGTTTGCTCAGAAATAGTAGTACAGTTGCAGCTGTGTTTGTTGGAGCAGGAGACTAGTTTAAATAGCATTACCATTTATCCAGTCCATTAACAGAACTCTGTAAAATAATACCAACTCTGCATAAACTACAGGACAGTGTAATAAAATTACAAGCACTTGTTGACAGATGGAAAGTGTAAGCAGAGGGAAAGGAAAGGGCCCTAGGTTGGAGGTTAAAAGAGACAGTACGCAGTTTTCTTCCTGTTTGTAGAAACACCATTGTCCCCTTTGCTCCTCCTCCAAACGTTTTTATTGTCAGTTTAAGAGTGGAGAAAATTACGTTCAGAGCGATTTAAAGCTGGCTAACTGAGAGAGATTTCAGAGGCTTCTGAAATGGTCCGTTATGATGGGTGGATATTTGTGAGTAGCAATTATATATATATGTGTGTGCAGCATATACAAATCTTCTTGATAAATGTAACCTTAAAGGTGACTGACCGGAGTGATTCACACTTTTCAGCTTGAGTTTACAACTACTAATCTGGGCTCATTAGAGAGGAATTTCATTGGCAGTGCTGCGGTGGAGTATTTGGTTATAAATATTTGCTTTGTGGTTTCCAGTTTATTTCTTTGAGTATTATTATATTTACCCAGGCTTCTAATATAAACTTAGGTACCCAATGCATGTAGCAAAAACTCATTTTTCACTTGTATCTACCAAAACAAAACCAAACTAACAAAAATAAATACATAGGTCCTGATGATTTATTTTCTTTACTTCTTTGAATAAAAGCCTTTTTATTTCTGATTCACAAGTGGCATTTATTATTCCCCGGTGAGCTTTGAAGCCACAAAATTATCGAATGTTATAAATAGTAATTTTAAATCTAAGGACTCTTTTTATGGCCCAGTGACTACTTACTTACCTGAGACAAATAGATTTTGACTGCTTAATTTGATTGGTCAGGTCGATTTATTTGCTGTCATGTAGGATCTCAGATTCTCAAAATTGTTTTTGATAGTAATAATTGGGGCCTTTTGAGAGGGAAGTTTAACTTTTTATTTTATGAAAGTGAAAATTAATTTGCAAAACATTACCGATATACAGTCAAGCAGTCTTTATTTCCCTTTTGCCTAGTCTGATTGAAGGAATCTTAGGTTTTGTCTTTTAATAGTTGTAAGAATAGCACACGTTAATGTGAAAAAGGCTCGGATGATTCAGAAAAATAGAAAAGAGGGAGTAGAAAACATTCATTATTTCATCATCCAGACGCAATCACTAGTATACTTAATCAATTATTAATTTAGTTTACTTTTTATATGATTATACATATAAATGCTGGTATATATGTATTAAGAAAACATTTTGTTTTATATCCCCAAGGTCTAGTATAAGGCTTGACCTTTAGAAGGCTCTCAGTAAGTGTTTGATGTATTGAATTAAGTCTCTGTGGGTTCAGGGTCTGTAGCTTGAATGAGCAAATAGTAACACTGGGAG